TTAAATAGGGTGACCTGGGGTAATTCCTGATCAAAAAATGCAAACATCTATTTTGTGAAAAAACTATTCAAGATAGAATTTTAATATTTACTGGAAGTTTGAGGCTATATGAGATGAGTCCTATGCCTCTTTCTTTTGTTTGAAAATCTAATTAGAATTTAAAAGATTTTAAATTTTTAGTGATCAGGAATTACCCCTTGTCTTGATCATTTCTGGGGTAATTCCTGATCACTTCTGGGGTAATTACTGATCACCAGTTTTTATAGTGCATGGGCTGTTTAAAAATAATTATACACATTCGTCTTGTATACAGTTAAATACAAATTTTGTGATTATTGTTAAAATATATTTTATAGTTGTTCCACTTAATAAATATCAACTGTTATTTAAGAAACAACAATTAACTATTTATTAGCGATTTTTTATACTATTTATAAGAAGAAATGACAATGATCAGGAATTACCCCAGTGATCAATAATTACCCCATCTGTAGGGGGCAACATTTGATATAGTTTCCTATAATCAATTATCTTGTTTACAGTAGATGTGAAACAATTAAACAAAAGCTTACACTATTTTTATATCAAAGAAAAAGAAAGTAACTCAAAATATTTATTATTAAGAGAAGGAGGGGGATCTTTGCAGAAATGTGCACATTTTNAAGAAGACATTCACAGAAAGCATTTTAAAAGATACTTATTTTGTTAGATTGAACAAAAAACTATTATTAAGTAAATATAGTTATACTTTAGTAATGTGTACAAGCATTCTTGTCCATGTCTCAAATTTAAAAAAAATAATTTTTTTAAAAATAAAAATTAGGTGGTCATTATTTACCCCAGAAACAGATTGATTGTGAATTACCCCGGGTCACCCTACCTTTTTGTTTGCATTTGAAACGAAAAGCTCAGACAAAATTAACGGATTTTATCAGTAGCAATTAAACTTAAGAACGCATCTGGTAATGTATGTTTAACCCACTGGCGGTTAAGGAAATGGGCAAAATTGGGAGAATGTTTCTCCCCTACACACAGTTCCCCTATCTATTAACATGGGAAAACCGGTTTTGCTATGCAGAGAAGACTGCAGGTTAAAATGCGACTTTTTACGTGCAGAACCGTCAGTGGGTTAAAATTACTTTTATATTAAATGCAGCTATAATTTTATACATAAATTTAGCTTCTTTTTTTTTAAATTGGAAATGTATGTAGCACAATAGTGTAACACTGGATAATGTTTTACTCTCTTTTTGCTTTACATGCAGATTTCTTTTATGGTTAAGATTTATAAAATAAATAGTAGATACAGTCTGATCTTGATATAAGGTCACTTTTCCAATGTCCCGGCTCACTGTTACAGATTATTAGATATAGGGTCAAGTTTTAAAAATTGTTATCGCTTATAAGGTCATTTTTATCTAAGGCGAGGGAAGCTCTTTTCTAACAAAAGCCTATTTAACTTCCTTACAAGGCAATTACCTCTCTCAAGTTCTAGGAAAATGTTGCAGCCAACGAACAAGCTACAATTTCTGAAATTGTTTCAGAAGTTGTGGACAGCGAGGACAAAGGCAGTGATCCTGAGACTGTAGCTGTAACCCAAGTGGAAGCCTTCAATGCAATAAATGTCATACGAAATTTTTTTACAAACCATGAGGGAGCTGAGAAACATTTTGAGAAGTTACAAAATCTAGAAACCATTGTTCGAAAAATGAAACCAAAAACGAGACAGACCTGCATAAATGATTATTTTAAATAAGGTAAGATGCAATACATGTATGTACACTTTGAGAAAATTTGTAAACAGCTTTATTTTAAATTAAAAAATTTTTAAAAATCTTTCTTCAAGTCTTTACTAATTCTGTTAAAATTTACTGACTTAAATATTTAATTTATGGCCAATCGTTTTCGTTTGTATTACCATTTTTAAAAAGTCACAATGTGTACTCTTTACGTGTTTAGTTACAAACTGATAATGAATAAAAGGTCACCCCGCTTATAAGGTCACTTTGTGATGTGCCTTAGGGTGACCTTATATCGAGGTCTGACTGTACTAGTTTACAAAGTAAAGGTGTATCAATTGCTTTTTTTAATTATGCCTAGTGCTTATGAATTTAAAACCTGTTTTAAGTTGTTTAAGTATTTCATAAGGTGATTTTATATTTAACGAATTTTCTATACATTTAACGAATTTTCTATTTTATATATAACGAACTTATTAACAGGATTTAGCGGCTTCGTTAAATAGAGGTCTGACTGTATATTTATTTCAGTGTGATTATGGTTGAATGTTCTGGCAAAGGGAATCAAGGAGGGTGAAAAGAAATGCATTTAATTAAAACATAAACATGATAAAAATATGGAGAACATTGAAATCCAAGTTGTAATTGATGTGCCTCATCTAATATGTTAGGGATTTTTAAGGGAAAATTTTGTAAATCCTTCCTATCCAAGCTTCACAGTTGCCAAAAGAAAAAATCTAGACATTTTACAAAAAAAAAATCATGAAATTTGTTTGGAAACATAAATATACCAGATTACTTTTCAAAAAGGCAAAGTAAAACCGAAACATAATTTTTCTACTTGAGTGTAATGAAAGTAAATTTTATCGTAAAAGAATAAAACATAGTACTATTGTTAATTCCAGAATTACTTTGCTTGAAATCAAGAATATTTTACAGTTTTCAGTATAATTTTATCAACACTATTAACAGTCTCAACCAGCTACAGGGTGACAAAATATAACAATAGTTGATTAAAAAATTTTTTTGCCATTCACTACTTTTTTATACCTTTCATAATAAAATTTATTATTTTATTTATTAAAATTCCCCTTTTATTACTTCAATAAATAAGGAATTATTCCTAAAATTCTGATTCAGAAAATTTTTCTTAATTTTAAAAATGAACCTTGAAATGTCCATTGAGAAATGCATCAAAAAAGAGATGCCTTAATTATTTGTAGATTGATGCTACAAAGGTTTCTCTTTTTAGTAATGCCTAATAGCGCTCTATGTTTTCTTAATAGTTTGTGGTCAATATCTTCTAAATAACTGTTACATCATCCTTGGTTCTCTTTTAAGTCAACATTACTACAAAGTAGGGCCGGGATAGCCTGGTTGGTTGGGCATTGGGCCCATTCCAAGAATTCGATCCCAGGCCGGCCGAAGGGCAAGTAAATGGTGACTGATGCATGTTAAATCTGTCGAGTCGCGAAGTCCTTCAAGTTCCCATAACAAATCAATATCTCTGGGGGTACAGATTTGGGTACTTTTTATGAACTAGAATTTTTTCTCCTTTAATATACTTAGAGATTACGCCTAATGAAAATATCTTAAAGGAGCACTCTGAATAACTTTTGATTTAATGATCGGATTTTCAGGTACTAGAACAAACCTAATTGGTTTGAGGGCTCAATATTTTAAGATAAGGAATCAGTAAGAAAACGCATTTAACGTACACACTCCCGTGGTATAACGTTACCCTAGAATTGAGTACAAGTGCGTGCAAATCCGATCATGAGATCAAAAATTATTCAGACTTTTTTCTTTTTCTATACATTGTATATTAATTTAAAACTAAATTTTATTCCTTGAAATATAAAGGAAATTGTATGCTTTTAAAATTTTTGGTACTCAAGTTTATGAAATATTAGGTTTTTAAAGGATTTATGATTAAAAATACCAAAAAATTTAATATTCATATCGTTTTGCACGTATGAACATACTAAACAAGTTTTATTTTTATTTATTCATTTATTTCAATGTAAAAATAGAAGATGGGTGGAACTTCCTAACAAATCACTGAAATTTTTAAACTTCTTTATCTGTTTTTTTCTTTTCTCTTTCGTACATAAATTGAATACCAACATGGCTAAAAGGTTTCATTTCCAGAAACTATTTCATATTTGGAGGCATTTTCTCGGAG